TTCCCGATAAATGCATAGAAACAAAAAACAAAATTATTATTATTGCTGATGACCAAGGACGCTATTTGCAACGTACACTACAGCTTTTAATTGGTGAACGGTTTCACGTCACCTCATTCTGGAAACCAGGAGCTACATTACAAGATGTTTTGATGTCAGAGGGTACACAATTGAATCTTTTGACAAAAAAAGATTACGCTATCGTAGTTGGTGGTATAAATGACCGATCTCCGAGCATTTTTGGTATATGTGTAAGTGATTTCTTATGCTCTTATAGAAATACGAATGTTATGATTTGCGAAATTCCCTATAATAGATACCTCAACGAAATAAAATTAAACTATGAAGTTAAGCTGCTATGTTCAAAATTTCAAAATGCAAAGTACATCGACATGGGTTTTTCCACAAGGGTACCATATCGCAGATTTTTGCCTATCCATATATGTCAAAATTTATTAAGAGAAATATTAGCTAAAGATTATCATTTACGAGCTACTGATTTTCATGTATCTTTGGCAAATAAAAATAAAGTTTTAATAGAAAAGGCCACGCAAACAAATGATTTTGAAGAAATAAGCCAGGTAAGTGAATCTTTGTCAGACAGTAGTAACAATATTATAAATGAGCCAACTGACACTCACAAGGAAAATGATGATAATTTTTTTCGTGCATAAGTCAATCAATGTCATTCATCAGAATATTAACGGGCTCATAAATAAACTTGATTTACTGTGTGTGAGTCTAAATACACTCTTACAGAAAAAAATTGATGTTGACATTATATGTATAACCGAACATAACATGATACAACAAGATACATCTCAGTTATGCTTAGAGTCGTTTACCCTAGGTTCCGCATGTACGAGAAAAAATAGAAATGGAGGCTCCTGTATACTTGTGCATCATAAGCACAAATTTAAAACGATTGAGGAAATTAAACAATATGAAATTTTTAACATTTTGGAGTGTAGTGCGATAGAACTTGTAGATCACAACATCCTGATAATATGTGTGTACAGACCTCCCAGCAGTAATTGCAACGACATTGATAGTTTTTTTTGTAAATTTAATGATTTATTACACAATTTTTGCCATAAAAATAAAAAGATCATTGTCTGTGGTGACTTAAATATTAATATTTTAAAAAGAAATAAATTGACAACGTATTACAAATGCATTTTAGCCCAATACAATCTTAAACTAGCTATAGAGTCTCCGACACGTTTATCTAGCCAAACCTGCATAGATCATATAATACACAATGTTAAAGGGTCCAAAAGTAACATCTTTGATCTGGCTCTCTCGGATCATACAGCACAATTACTAACCTGTCCTGTGAAAGCCTTTTGTACAATTGATCATTGGAGTGTTGAAAAAAGGGATTATAGTGTTGAAAATTTAGAAAAATTTAAAAAATATATAAGTTGTCTTTCATTTAGTGATGTATATAGTAGCAACAATCCCGAACAAGCGTTTAACTATTTTCATGACCTATTTGTTCTCCTTTATAAGTTATGTTTCCCCAAAGTTAAACATAAAAGGTCCATATATCAAAAACAAAAATGGATTAGCAAAGGAATTAAACTATGTTCTAAACGAAAACGCAGCTTACTTTTGAAATACAGGAGAACTAAGTGTGTCACTGACAGAATTAAATTTAAAACGTACTCAATGAGATTAAATAAAATAATTAGACTTACAAAGAAATCACAGAATGATTATTATATCTCAAGTAGCCAGAATAAGACTAAAGCAACCTGGAACATAATAAATAGAAGTAAGTTTAATATACCAAAAGATTATATCACACAGATTTATGTAAATGGGAAATTAGTTACAGATCCTAGAGCAATTGCAGAAAGTTTTAATAATTTTTATATTGATCAAATTGAAACACTAATTCAAAATGAAAAATCATCAACCAATAATTATTTGACATTTAAAAATAATTTGACATCCAATAATAAAACACATAATAAATTGACATTTAATAATAAACCCACATGCAATAATTATAATTGTAATTCAATATTTATTCAACCTACCACACCACAAGACGTACACAGAATAATAAAATCGCTTAAGAACACGAATAGCACTGGCTATGATGAAATAGGGACCAAAATAATCAAGTATGTAGGCCAAGTTATATCTCCAATTCTCAGTCACATTTTTAACTTGTGTATCTGTGATGGCATATTTCCATCAAGACTAAAAACCACCATTATAAAACCACTGTTTAAAAAGCAGGATAAGGAGAACATGACATGCTACAGGCCTATAGCCCTTATACCTGTATTATCTAAGGTGCTTGAAAAAATTATCTATGAGAGTTTATATAATTTTTTGGAGAAATATAATATTATCACCGAAGTGCAAACAGGATTTAGGAAAAATATGTCTATTAACAGAGCTATTTACAAATTGCTTAGGGAAGTGATGCTTAATGTCGACCGTAATACGCCGGTTTGTGCTTTGTTCATGGATCTTACAAAGGCTTTTGATTGTGTTGACCATGAACTCCTAAAAAACAAGTTGTATAGTTGTGGTATAAGGGGTAACGCCCTGAATCTAATAATTTCTTATCTGAGCCATAGACAACAAGCAACTATGATTACTAGAATGTGTAAAATGGAGATAAAAGAACGATCCTTTCTGTCTGGGTATAGAGAAATTAAGTACGGTGTTCCTCAGGGAAGCGTCTTGGGACCCCTGTTGTTTCTAATTTATATCAACGATTTCCCAGGAGCTGTTACCTCTCCAATGATTCTTTTCGCTGACGATAGCACTGTCATATTTTCTGATAAAAACCATGATAAATTGAAACACAGCATAACCGAACACCTAACAAATATAGTTGACTTTGCAAGGTTCCTTGGCCTAGATGTTGATTGCAACCTAAATTGGAAGGTACATATTGAAAATCTATGCTCCAAACTTAGTAAAAGCTCGTATGCTCTGTACATGTTATCAAAAACAGCTAATACATCTACGGTTGTAACAGCATATCATGCATATGCAGAATCATTAATGCGCTATGGTATAATCTTTTGGGGAAACTCTACTAACTGGGAGTATGTTTTTAAAGCACAAAAGCAATGTATTAAAGCCATTTATAGACTTAAGACTACTGACAGCTGTAAACCAATTTTTAAAAGTCTTAATTTACTCACTCTCCCATGCATGTATATATTGGAGGTGGCTATGTTTGTAAAAAAAAATATGCACTTATTCACTCATTTAAATGGCCGTCGCCATGAATATAAAATAAAAACGATGCCTAATAAAACATGGCTTGTAAATAGAAGCATATTGTGTATGTCATCTAGGATTTACAACAAGCTTCCTGTGAATATATGTAAATTAGATAGCATTAGTGAATTTAAATTTAAATTAAAGATTATATTACAACAGAAAATATATTACAGTGTTAAGGAATACTTAGAAGACAAATATTTATAAACATTATGATTTTCTTTTTTAAATTCTATTTACTACAATTTAGTTAATTTGACTCATGATCTACTATTTAATTGACATAATTATTATTGTAATTTATTTTGACACAAATTTTGACATTAACTTTTTTTTTTTTTTTTTTTATTTTTATATAGATGTGACTCATGAATTATGTCTAGATTATGTTTGAAATGTTTTAGTGAAATTGTAATATAAACAAAAGTATATTGAAATATTTGCATGCCATAAGGTGGAATATGAAGGAACGAAAATTACCTTTTTAACAACTTTACTATTGTACCCATATTCGCAAATAAATGTTATTATTATTATTATTATTATTATCTGGAATTTCCCTTTTTGGATACAGGGATCGACTATGCCGGTCCAATCATGATAGCTGATCGCAGGGGCAGAGGATGTCGGCTCGTTAAAAGCTTTATATGTGTGTTTGTGTGTTTGGCCACTAGAGCCGTTCATCTTGAACTCGTGTCTGACCTGACAAAAGATGCCTTTTTATCAGCTCTGTACCGCTTTATTGCTCGCCGGGGGAAACCACGTAACGTCTTTTCAGATAACGGCACAACGTTTGTCGGTGCTTTCAACGAGTTGGCCAAGCTTCTTTCACAGGATCTGAATTTTAGCGTAGTTGATCCTGGTATCAACTTTTCCTTCATACCTGCTTACACTCCACACTTCGGCGGTCTATGGGAATCGGCAGTTAAATCAGTCAAACATCACCTTAGACGCATTTTAGGCTTGACAAATTTGACCTTCGAAGAGATGACAACCTGTTTAGTTCAGATTGAGGCTATCTTGAACTCAAGACCTCTCACTTCACTTTCCAACGATCCTTCAGACCTCACCCCATTGACTCCTGCCCATTTCCTTATTGGACGATCTCTTGTAATGTTGCCTCATCCACAAATCCAGTCTACCAACATCAACAACTTGCAGCGATTTCGCAGCATTGAATACTTAAAGCAGCATTTCTGGGTTCGCTTCACCCACGAATACGTTTTGTGGCTTCAAGAGCGAACCAAATGGCGTCGATCGTCGGGAGAGTTAAAGGAAGGGACTCTAGTCGTCATAATCAACAAAAATTCACCACCTTTACTTTGGCCTTTAGGAAGAATTGTCAAGGTGCTTCCTGGCAGAGATGGCATCGCGAGAGTCGCCGACATCCGGACACGTAAGGGTGTCATTCGGCGCGCTTTCAACACCATCTGCCCGCTACCTGTATCTTCTGTTGAAACTACTTCAACCGGGGGAGTATGTTGAGACATCTCAACACAGACGCGGCGGCGGCCAGAGCGAGATGGACACATCGGACATCGCGCATCGCCCGCGCTGCGAGCCTGCGCGGCTTCTTTATATACTTGCCTTCAACGACCACATCAAGACGCACATAATATTTGTTACCACATAAATTAGTAAATCATTTTATACAGTCCACTTTCTTTTCTTGTCTTTTACTATCTACTTAGTTATCGCGCAAACAACCTTTGACCCTACTATCATACAAGCCGAAGCCGTCGAAGATGGTGTATATGCTGTCCTCATGCGATGAAGGCGCTGTTATAAATCCTACAACTGGTAAACCTGAAATCATTATGTTCTACAACCAGACAAAAGGCGGCGTCGACACATTTGACCAGATGTGTTCTTCGATGTCTTGTTGTAGAAAGAGTAACAGATGGCCAATGACAATGTTTTATGGCATATTGAATATAGCTTTTATCAACTCATATGTTATTTACACACACAATGTTTTGTCAAAACAAGAAAAACCATTAAACAGAAGAGAATATATGAAAAGACTAAGTACTGAACTGTCAAAACCGTCGATGAGATCTAGATTGGAAATCCCTACTTTATCGAGGCGTTTGAGAGAAAATATTGAGAATATCCTGCCACAAACGAATCAAGAGGCTTCTCAAGAAACTGAAGAGGAACCTCCGGCTAAAGTTCGGCGTTACTATAACTTATGTACTACTAAAAAAAAAAGAATGTCTAAGATGACATGTACAAAATGTAAAAAGACAGTGTGTGGTGAACATAAAAAAGATGTTTGCAACAATTGTCTGTAACTATAATTTTTTTCAGTATTTCTTGTAACTTGAGACTGAAACGAAACATTGAAACGAAACATTTTAATTTGGAATCATCTATAGTACCAATAAAAATGATTTAATCAATTGTAATGTAGTCTACAAAAAAGTTTCAGTTTTAATATTCATTTTTACTCGATCGACTTGGAAAGTAGTAATGGACTGATCATTCATTCATTATCTTATATGAATGAAACACGTCCGTGGGAGTTTCGGCGGCCAGTGCGCACCGCTGACGCTAACAGCAGCTGATAAAAGTATACCTATAGGCGCGAGCTAGCGAGTACTTACGTAGATAGACTCCAATTTGTCCTTCATACTTTACACGGGCTTAGGATCGTCGGAAATACCTATTTTATTTAAACTTCTTTTCGATTATTAACCACGATTGTTCTTTTCACAACAAATCAATTTATCAACGGACTGTAGGTATAAATATTTCAAGCGTATTTAAAAAATCGGAGCTATCTACAGAATAATTAACTTACATACCTATTTACACTATTTACACTTCTCTGTATCGAAGCAACTGCTCAAAATGGAGTCCGCTGCATTCAATACACAAACGTCCACGTTTAATGCAATTGTTTTTTAATTTTCTTAATGTGTCTCTATCACTTTTCACTTTATCAAAAACGTCCACTATCGCAATGCGTAAATCATCACGGCTTTCATATTCCCGTGTATAAACAAGTATTTTTATTTCCGACCATAAGAAAAAATCCAGGGGCGTTAAGTCCGGGCTTCTAGGTGGCCAAGGCACTGGCCCTCCTCGACCTATCCACCGATCACTAAACTCATTGTCCAGGTATGCACGCACTACACTCCGGCGAATAATAATTTAAACGTCCTTGACCTTGCGCGTGAGTATAGTATTTCTATTCGTAGTATTTACCTACTTGCGATTGAAAAGCCCTACTACTGGTTCTCACCTTTTCTCTGTAATCGATATGAATATCGACTTTGATGATAAAAAATATATATATTTTATTAAATTAACGTTATATATAGCTTCTGTTACTGATAAATAACTCAAAATTTTCTTTTCCAAAACGCTTTCAAAATCACCGTGTATATAGTAATTCATTATTTAGTAAGATAAAAAAAAATGTTACCTATTTAAAAAAAATCTACTTAAATATAAATATTTCCTATTTTTGTTACTTCTTGTTAAGGGTTTAAAAAACCCTACGTAATTTTCTTAATAATAAAAATAATAATATACATTTGTGTTTAATTGACTTCTTATTAATCTAAAACCTCATTGAAATTATAATAAAAAGAATAATTATTAGTAGTACTACAAAATAACGTTATCTTTCTATGGTTAATAAATACTAAGTATAGTGAAAGCTGTAGTGCTAGGCTAGGTTAGCCTACACTAACAACGTTCGGGTATCGAACCCGCGTGAAAGCACTAAGTAAGCGAGCGATAGTAAGTAGGAAGAATGAATGAAGGTTTAAAAGCAGAATGAATAATATTATTACTAAGGAAGAAATGAAATTATATTAGCGAAAGTAAATACAGGAGGATTTAGCACATACAAGATAAGCACAGGTATACAAATAACATATGTTAGCGCGACGCGTATAAGCTCCAAGCAAGTCGAAAGCGTTGTGTTGTGGTGGCGCGCCGACATCGGTGCGCGGGCGCATTGGCGCCAGCCGTCTGCAGTAAACATCGTATGTTTCTTGGTTGTGGTCTAAGTGGTATGAGCGGAGCGATTCCGCTCATCCAGTGACGGTGTCGGAATAAGCTTCCGCCACAAAGCCTCAAAAATATTAATAAATCTATTAATTTAGGGCAGAATTTCAAAATACGAGCATCTGATATTAAAGGAATATGGTTCAAAGTTTAAAAACATATATTCAAAAATATTAGTAGTGAGTGTAGTGAGTGCCCTATTTTTATTATTTTTTTTATGCTAGAGAGAGCAGACGAGCAGACGGGTCACCTGATGGAAAGTGACCATCGCCGCCCATGAACGTCTGCAACTCAGGAGTCGCAAACGCGTTGCCGGCCTCTTAGGAAGGAGTACGCTCTTTTCTTGAAGGTTAGAATGTCGGTCCGGTATACCGCAGACGATAACCCGTTCCACAGCTTGGTTGTGCGGGGCAAAAAGTGTCTCGAAAAGCGCACAGTAGTGGAGCGCCGTTGCCGTGTAGAACGATGGCGGAAAGTTGCGGCTGGTATTACTCCGAACAACTCCTCGGAGAACTCTCCATGATATGTGCGATAGAGAATGCAGAGTAAAGCCACATCTTTACGTAACGCCAAGGAACGGATCGGAGATGTTTGGGCTATCGGCGATTCGAGTCGCTCTTTATTGAATGCGGTCCAGGTGGAGTAGCTGGTACAGAGGTGCCCCTGCATAGAAATAAGAACAGTATTCCATATGCGGCCGGACTTGCGCCTTATAGAGCTGAAGGCGGTGGGCCGGAGTGAAATACTGCCTCGATCTGTTCAGCACACCGAGCTTATTCGTGGTCAATTTGACCTCACCCTATAAGTGACCCCGAAACTGGACTTCGCTCGATATACCGCATATTGAGTTTTTAACAGGGAGCATTAGGAAACTAATGTATAAATTCAAGTACCTCAGGCACGTTGCAGATCCCAAAGTTTTAAAAACAGAATACTATTCCCTGTGCCAGTCCATGATAAGTTACTGTATTTCTACCTGGGGCGCCCTTAAAAGTAATCTGATACAATTAGAACGAGCACAAAGAGCTCTCCTAAAGGTTTGCACTTTTAAACCATTCAGCTTTCCTACCAAAGAACTATATGACCACACCGAAGTCTTGAACAGTGCGACAATTATTCATTTGCCAAGTTGTTCTTAGGCTGTTGCCTAAGAACCACTTTGACGTCTGACTATGAGTATTCTTCTATAACATCCCTAAGACAACCATCACGTAGGTTTAGACTGTCTCCAAATGAGACTCACAAGACCTCCTTCAGCCACAGATTTTTTTGCTTTCTCGGATGCTTTTTATATAACAATCTGAACAAGGCTTTAAATATTGTTGCTAAAAATAAACACCACTGTAAGAAGGTTGTCACTGATTAGCTTCGTACACTTACTATGATGTAACTGAGAATTTGCTTCATCCAGTCAAATAGCCACACAAACACAGATGCACGCACCCCTCCTCATTTACACTCACACTAATCCATACACACGCACACAAACCTCTCTTTTACACGCACTCATACAAACTCACTCACGTACACTCACTGCCAATTGCAAAAACCTCTTTGAACACTGATTCTCATAACTATTAAGATACTAGGTTCATTTTAATTATTATTTCATTTTATTTCATCATCAATAGCCTATACTAGTCCACTGCTGGACATAGGCCACTCCTTAGAAAGGAGGTTTTGGCCTACTATATATTATATTTCATAACTAACCAATTAGCTTTAATTGTATTTTTATTCAACGGTTGTGGCCACAGAATTTGTCTCTAATGTTCTGTGGTAAAATTGTGTGTCTGTGGAAGCATTGTATTACCAAACTGTGCCATAAAAGAGTTGCTGGTACTTATACCACAGGGTTTCTTTTTAAGTATCAGCAGTGAATTATTTGTGATTACTGTAATATAACAACCATGTAATTATGTTTGTAAACTTTAATTGTGAACAATAAATACATTATTATTATTATATGTCGGTGCCTAGTGAACGCACAGACCTGTGTTTTTTTTTTGGGTTAAACTGGATTAGATTTATTCGGCCTCAATCTGAAACCTCTGCTAAGGAAGTTTCAATTTCAGACACAAGTTTGTTTCGACTCTCGATGACGTTTTCCCGAGAAATTTTGGGGCTTCCGGTATAAAGGGCATCTCCCGTGCTATCATCTACATAGCAATGGATGCTACTAGTTTGCAACATATCATTGATATGCAGAAGAAACAGTGTGGGTGATAGCACACAGCCTTGTAGGACACCAGCACTTACGAATTTCAAGTCGGAGCATGCACCGTCGACAACGACCTTAATGCTTCCGTCCGCAAGGAAACTGGTGACCCAATTACACAAGTTCTCGGGTAGCCCAAAGGAAGGGAGCTTCGAGAGAAGCGCCTTATGCCAGACCCGATCAAAGGCCTTCGTTAGGCCTGTCCAAACTAACCGCACAAGCCTCTCCTTTGGTCTCGATCGCCTGTGTCCACCTGTGTGTTAGGCGAAAACCATTTTGTCGGTCATTGAGTAGCTGGTGATCATCTCAGTACCGGATAAGCTGGCTGTTGATTATGGATTCCATAACCTTAGAGAAATCTTAATCCGTCTGGTGATGGATTAAGAATACAGAGTGCCCCCCCCCCCCCCCTCCTATTCATCCCGTGGGCGTCGTAGGAGCCGACTAAGGGAGCAAACTGCGCGGAACAACAGCACTGCAGAGAGAAGGAAAACTTGACACAAACCCTATACCAACACACTGGTCAGCGTGGTATAGTAGGCCAAAACCTCCTTTTTAAGGAGAGGCCTATGTCCAGGAGAGACTAATAAAGGCTGTTTATGTGATGTGTGATATGAATCTTAGATAAAAAACGAGTTATGGCTATAATAATAATAATAATAATTTATTATCAAAAGAGCACAATACATTTTGTCCATCTCATCCAAACATAAAAGCACAGTTGTACACAACGTAACATATTCTTTAGAGACAGAGTGAACGTCAGTGTCTATGATAGTGTTACCTGTGTTATAGACACTGGCGCCTTCCTCTTACAGTTTACAGTTGGAGCAGGAATTTCTTCAATTTTCTGTTCCAATTCTATGGAGTTTGATTTCGGTTTATTCGATTCGCGGAAACTATATTTGCGTAGGTTGCTGCCGGGTTTACGAAAAAATAACACAATTTTATAAACTAAGTAAATAAAAAGAATACAAATGATTATATTTATGGCTATCGAATAATGTGTCCCATATTCAATTAAGTGTGGGATTTCCTGATGTTTTTCAGAATCCG